TACTACCACCATGCTGTATTGAAGTCTGTGGTATTGTACTGATCTTCGTACTGCGTCGTGTTGTACCACTCGGCCTTTCAGGCCTAGTCCACCACCGACCGCTCAAAAACATCTTCCCCTGCGTTTCTTTTCTGTCCGAGTCGTTTTCATTCATAATCTCAAAAATCGTAGGAATTAATCGTAGGAATTAACACGTAAACTGAACCGCACTACGGAATCCTCAACGAACTATACATATCGACTTCACAACTCCAACGTTGATGCCCATAGGTTCAACAGAGCCATCTGAGGCTTGGTAACCCGAGCTATTTTGGTTCTTTCACCATGCCGTATTCTAGAGTTGGTGTGATGCCTGAGCCAGCTCGGAGTAAAGATGTGAAAGGATACAATAGAAGCAGAGGCAATAGATCGAAAGGGATAACGATGGAGGTATGAATAGAGAAGTTGGATTTCACTGCTTTGATRTCGAGGATCATTTGAGTTTCTTCAATCCACCACCCTMTTTGCCCTTTGATATTACTGTTTACACGAGCAAGTGGTGAATGGAAAAGTTTGGGTGGGAGTTCAGTATATCTCAAGAGAAAGACGCGTGTGCGAAAGTATTGTCTCACATAAGGTGTTCGCATTCATTTTTTAMAAAATAACTAGGATTTGAAGAAGCAAACCGCTTTACGATTGGCTCAGGAACAGCAAGAGCCCCATCAACAKCAAAGTAATCATGSAAGAGGTATTGGTTGGGAAGAGCAATATCGGCCGTCTCATCCTCGGTTTTATCCTAGTAAAACTAAAAAGGGCTACCCTTTCGCATTAGCCGATCCTTCTGTGGTAAATTCCCGCAACGTTTTCAATCATCAAAACTATAGTAGTCACCACTCACAGGAATTGAACCCAAGTGCAAACGCAAATCTCAATATTGAAAGCCAGGAACASCATTTAGTTTCACACGAACAACACCAATATCACAATCAAAACCAACACYCTATGAACAGGGGATTTTCTGCGGTACCTGTCTTTGATCATACGAACAACACGCTGCCATCGCAAGACCAGAATATGACACCTTCATCAACAGAAATGTATGCCATTGTAAGTTTTACTATTYCTCGATTTGTACTGTTTCAGTGCTCGTGAAAAATGAAGTCCTGGTGAAAATTCTTATGTAAAATGCTTTGTCAACAATTGATCTGAAATGTTGAATCGCGTTACAATGACAACTTACTCATACTATGCCCGCATGACACAGCAACTACAAYCCACGACGCCTTTCTCTASACCAGTTCATATACACGATYTACAATACGTACAGCAAAACACGTTCAATACTACAAATGGATCGTTKCACTCGACTACTTCAACTACTTCAAAACATAAGCTCCCTCACGGACTCACTGTCTACGAGCTAAAGGAGATGACAAAGGCTCGGCTTCAATCAGAAGCTGCCGAAAAGTCGAACGGAAGAAACGAAGTACAAGAAATATGTCGAGACCGCGTCTCGCCACTTGATTTCGATTCTGGGGACCAGGTRCGAGATCGTACTTTCTCTCGTGATTCCTCATTGAGTAGTCGAATGAACAATAAYCCAGTTGAATTCTACCCACAAAACCAACAGTTCGCGCCCAACGCGACCCAAGTGCAAGGGCAGCCCCAGTCCCAACTTCTAAACTCTGGATTGCATCCGGTACCTAGTATGCTAGGAGGCGGGGCAGCACCGTCATCCTTTCGGACGACACGTTCCCGAACTGATACTTGGGAATCAACCAGTGTTGCATCTCACAACAGTACTATTCACTCTGAGAATCTGAGTTCGGAATCAACTTCCGAGGTTGGTAGCTTCAGTCACTCCGGTCATAGAAATCGTGCCTTCACGTGTCCCGCAGTCCAACCTGACAAGCCATTAGATGCCATGAGCAACACGACTAGCGGACTTTATAATGATTCTAGATCATTTTCGAGCCCGTCTCCAGTTCAAGCTTCACCTCGTCGGGGACCAGGGATGATAGGTGGAACTTCGCTAWTCAACGCTGCCGTTGGAGGGAACCGATGTAGAGCTGTTACGTTGTCACCAAATACTGACTCCATTCTAGAAGATAGGCCCTTCCATTATGACGCTTTCGAATCTGGCGATCGCCTGGAGATTCCAAATTTTTCAGGAGGAATTTCTGGAGCTACAACTTTGTCAGCAGCRACGCCGTCACAAACTCGTCAGAGGGACTACTCTCCAGTGTTAGAACAACTTGGCCTCGAYAGTTCCTATCTTTCAAATGGGACAGACTCAAACAGTGTGTTCAGAAGCCTTGCAACGAGTAGTATGTCGCCACTACAGGGCATCACACAGACGGGTTMTAGGGAGTTGGATAGTCTAAACGAATTTCAGCCAATCACAAAGAACAAATCCGATATTTTCAGTGAACAAGCAATCGAAACAAGGATTGCAGCGCCTCCACCTGGTTTTGTGACAGCTAGCTCTTCCCCTATCGGAAATACCGCATTTTCAATAGTTGGTTCACTGGATGGWTACTCCARTATSAATAGATCTCATCTTCTCTCGGAAGACAATGTGCTAAGTGATTTTGGATCTCTTCTGGATCTTTCGGGYCCACGCGACGATCGAGAACGCGCCAATACTTACACATTTGGCTCAAATGAGTTCAGAAGCATGAATGACAATCAAAGTGGTGGCCACTGACTTTAGCCCCGTTCCTATGGCAACTTCATCCWCTTGAGGAACAAGTGTATCTTGTGTGAACACAACTTTTATGAAGGACGCCCCTTTATATTCTCTACACAACAAAAATACTCGACCTACGTACATGTTTTATTTGCAAGTCATACATACAAGACAATCATGAGATATATGAAAATTTCACCGACAGCGTTATGTCTGCTATTGTAAGTGTTTTCAAATGTTTGAAGTACGGTGATTGGCGCTCGAACAGCGTCCATTATTATCATTTCTGCTTTTTGAATTGCTTTGTCTTAACAATTGAGACAAAGCTGCAAACAAGAAGTATATATATTTATATGTATTAAGTTAAAATATTCGATAGATTTGATTCAATGATACAAGTTCTTGCATATGCACAATAGCATACTCTCATTCATCAAGGTGCTATGCGTAAAAGGAAGAATTAGAATATACCTGTCTGTTTTTGGAAGCTGAATATTA